CAATTTCTACAGCTCCACGCCTCTAACATCTCTCTGTAAATTTTGCCTTTGGCCAAGTTCTTGTTTTGTTCTTACTACACGTTAAATAATAACTTGTTGAAGGTGTCTTAAAAAATGAAAAGAAATAGGTAAAATATTAAAAAGTTTCTTCTTATTAATCTATTAAATGTGGCTAATATTTATAATTTTAAATTGAAATGGGAACCTCTTCTTTGTCTGGCTTAAAGTTAATATTAAATGGATTATTACTTTACTGACTATGTACTTTCTTATTGTACTTTTCCTTTTTTGAAATTCCTTTTTAAATTCCCGCTTCTTTTATTAAATTAATTTCTCTCTGTGCTGCCGTTTGTTATCCGCTTCTTGTGAACTGTCGGTCTAATCCTAATGCTCTCTAATTACATTGGCCAGTCAAGGCCAAGTTTTCTATCCCTGTCTATTTGAGTTTGCCATGTCCGCTGTCTACTTGCCAGCCCGCTTATCATTTTTTAGCCCTGGCTTATAGACACTCCTAATTATTGGCCCTCTGGCCGGGCTAAAAAGCCAAGTTTTTTGGCCAATGAACTGGCCCAGTGACGCCGCCATGGCCTCGTCCTTGTCTCGGCTATGAGCCTGTTTATGAGGGTGCGACGATACCTGGCGACATCAATTACGGGGGGGACCGGCAGGTGAGAGGTTTCTTGGAGTACCACAAAATGTCACGACGTATAGACTTTTCTTGGGGTATTTGTTAAATTTTAGTTAGTTATATTGAAGTTTAAGGGAATAAGTTCGTGAATAAATAAAGGATTTTATTTAGAAAGAGTTTCATAGTATACCATTTCATGTTTTTGTTAATTATTTTGGTTACGTTAAAAGCTAATATTTATTAAAACCCATTAAACACAATAATATTAAGTAGAAATGATTATCTAAAGAGTATTGAAGGAGTTTTTAAATAGTTTTCTTGGTTTTATAATAAATTTCTTTAGTTTTAACCCTATACTATGATTCCTCATATAGTGTATTTATGGTATATTTATTTTTTAAAAATATTCCCACTACTTATGCATTATTTCCACTGATTCACATGCCTAACAAGCATTTATATTTATTTCTCCATATAAAGAACAATTTTTCTCCGTTTCTGCTTCGTGGAAATTTATGAAGGACACTTGAAATGGCCTACGACCCCCATTTCTGCTCCCTTTTTGCACCTTGGGGCTAAAGCCACACACAACACACACACGCACAACCAGTAAGCAGGGGTGATAAAGGGAGGGGTGGAGTGCAGAAAAAAAGAAGTGACGGGGGGGAGTAAGCAAAATGGCGAGCAATAAAAATAATTGCAAATTTCGAAATTTAAGTGTAGGCGTGAGGCACGTTTAAAGTGGCGTCCCCCGCTTGTCTCTTACCACTCCGGGGAAAATTCTACCACTCCCTCCCCCCTTTTGTCATGCGGCTGCACAAACAATGGCCAAAAAAATGAGAAAAAAATGAAAACCAAATGCTCAACGCAGTGTAAAATCTGTGAATCGCGGTTTTCTTTTTTCACTTTTCCCGCGCTGTCTGTGTGTGTGTTTGTGTTTTACAATCTGTTTCGCAACTCACGTAAAATATAAGGTAATTTGTGGAAATTTGATGTTTATCGTAAATTGTTTTTTATTTGCACAATGTCACCATTTTGCGGTTTGCCAGCAGGGCGCAACTCACACACACAAACACACACAGAGTTCAGAGTTGCCAGTCAGACAAAGTAAAAAAAATAATAAAAAAAAATTACAAAAAATAAATGTAAGTGAAAAATTGGGTACTTTAAGAAAAGTAAAACATATAATTTGGAAGCCATAAATAATATGTAACGTTTTCTTTATCACAAGTTAAATAATAAATGTCTGATATCAGACTTTACCCTAAATATAATATAGTTAAATATTAAAAAGTAATGCAAATATTGGAGTTTATAAATTCATTAAAATAAAATCGAGTTGAATACATAAAAATTATGATATTTTAATAAATATATTTCCTGTTGGTGGGTTCATTAATCTCTTACGGAATTATATGCATTATACGATTTTTTTTATAAGTTTCTCTTATATTTGCAATACTTTTTAGATGTAATGATTAATTTAACTATATAATAAAATATATAACGTATATATAATATATAAAACATTTAATTTTCAACATCAATCATTACATCCCTCTGAAATAGTATAAAAAGTTTTTAATTTTGAGATTTTTTTAAGGGTCAAAGGATAATTGAATATTAACAATATTTCAAGTATCAATAAAGCCAACTTCAAAATATTTTTGATAAGTTTTCGCCAAATTTGCAATGTTTTTGATGTAATAAATCATTATCAACATAAAATATTAAATTGAACAAAAATATATAAAATGAACATAACCTGCCCATGGAAAGAGCATTCCATGAGTAAACTGACATTTTTTCCCACCTTAATTGTGCCCCGAAAAAAATAAAGAGCAAGTACAACAAAAGCTTGAAAAGATGGTAAAAACAATTGCAAACATTTTTCAATTTACCTGCATGGCGGACACGACGCCCTTCTTTCTCCGCCTCCTTTTCCTCCGCCTCCTGTTGGTACTGCGACCAACCGCTTTTCCGCCTCGCGTTTCTATTGGGTTTTCCGGGACTTTGGCTGGCGGTGCTCGGGAAATTTGTAGTTTTCCAGCGGCACAATACAGCAGCACCATCAATATGAGGACAGACATGGGAATAGAAGCGAAAGGGTAATTTTCCCTTACTTGGTCGCCTTGAAGCATTTTGACCAAAAATGGAATGAATTCGAACGAAAACAGAAAACACACAAATTTGGGCCAGGAAACGAGATGCCTACCAGCCGAGTCGAATATTGTAGAGCAACTGACTAAAAACACTATTGTTGTTGGTTTAATTCTCATTTTATTTACTTTATAATTATCGTATATATTCTGATTTTACATTGTATAATATCGTTTAATCGTATTACGGTCTAAGTTTACAGTTAAAATTAGTTTAATGTTTTGCCATAAAAATGTTTCAGTAAAATGTTGCAAGCGCCTGGCGCAAACATTTCTGTTTTTTTTTTTCAGTTTGTTTTTAAAGAATCATTTCAAATAGTTTACATTTAGTAAAAAGATGAAATTATAAAATGCTCTTTGGCAAAAAAGTGGACAGTTGAAAATAGTTTAATGACTTAGGCTTAAGTTTATCGACTATTTTGATCTCATTTGGTTTTGGATTACGATAAATGTTGTTCTTACAATTACGTTGATCTTGGAAAATTGTGTGCCTTGGTCTGGGTTTGTTTACATATTAGTTAAAGAGTTAAATTAGATCTTTTTTATAGTACAAATATCAGAAATAAATAAATTAAACTTGTGAGGATAACAAGTAATCATTTAATGGGGAAATCTATGCTGCCCAGACCAACACAAAGTGTCTCCAAATTCTTTTCCATCTTCTTATTTAATAATAATAATCTCTATAAGTATTCGTGATCATAGTTTAAACATTTACTTTATTTGGAATTAAATATCTGTTTTCTCTTTGGTTTATTCTGTGTTTATGTATTTACAGTTCACTTAAAGTTTAATTCACCATTTAAATGGCTTCTATTGCTATTTGGGAGAGAGCTAAAAATATATGCCCAACATTCATTTAAAATTGAAGTTAATTTATTTAACTAAAATTTTGTATGCATAATTTGTTGCGCAAACACAACAAATAAAATACTGATTTTTCACGCCGTCCATTTGTTTGCTAAGCATCACATAAAATAAATGCTTCAATTATGTGAATTTATTACTTGAATATTTCATAACGCAGCCGAGCAACAATAACTATTGGATTAAAGATTAAAGATATTTGCAGTGCCATAAAAAAAAAATATTCAATTCGGTTTGATATTTTTTTATTTTATTTTGTTTCCATCGATATATCACTGATTGCTAAAGGGTTGTGTCCGCTGTCAAGAGTTTGGTTTTTAAAAATGGAAAACAAGGGAATATATATATACATATATGTACGTACAACTAAATGATTTTACAACCCATTTTTGATGGCTTCGATTGGAAGAAGTAAAAGGAAAATCAATGTTTATTAAATTTTCACCTCAGACTAGGAGACAGGAGAAAGTTTATGAGAAGTTGGTTAGAGATGATTTCAATAATCACTTTTCATGAATGAATGGTGAAAGTAACTCGAGTTTTTTTTCTGTTTTCTATTTATTTTATAGAAATATTTTTAAAACTCGTCCCCCGGAGCTTAAAATTTAAATTGAATTCCATTTTGTGTGTTTTTTTGTGTTGATTATTTCATCCAGTTTTTTTTTTTTTTTTAAGCTATTATGATTTTATTTCAAGGATATTTCTCCTGTTGTTTTTTTACGCTAAAAGATAGTTTTATTATTTTAATTTTCATATTTTGCGGTTGCCCTTTTGTCTATTTATATGTTCTGTATATATTTTTTATAACTATATATCTGTCTATGTGTAAATGCAACTCACTTGGACTTTTGACGACTGGCAGCATTCAGTTTTAAAGTTATTTCGGTTGCAACAATTTAATAACTCTAGTTGGTTTTTTTTCGATTTGTTGTTTTCCTCAAAGAGAGAGGGAGGGAGTGGAGGGGAGGTGGGCGTGTCAACTATTTACAGATTTCGCACACACAGTAAATACAGTAAATAAATTGATAATGTGTACACTGATTTCGGTGAGGGCTTTTGTGCAAAATGGCAAATTAATTTGCAAATTTACACAATCTAATTTTAGGTCACCAAGGGACACCGGGACACCGACCAATTGTTAATTTGTAATTACAAAATTTTTGCATTATTATAGGCGAACAATTGAAATTAGCAGCGCAATTAGTCGATCCGAGCAAACACAAATATTCGTTTCAATTTAATGCCCCAACGGAGACAAAAGCTAATGAGTGGCAACACTTTTCCAAACTTCTACGATTTTCCCCTCTATTATTATTATTTTCGTTACATTTTTTCTGTTTTGCATTGTGTTGAAGTTTGATTTTTATTGCCCTTGTTTTTTTGGTTTGGCTGGAAAAGCAATTAAATGAACATTTTGTCTCTTTTATTTGATTTAAACGAACGCAATTTCCATATTTTTGCTTTATAGAATGTAAAAACAAAAAAACAATACCGGCACATAGAAACCTCAAAAAGGTGGCTTTTGTGTTTGGCTGTTGGTTTAACAATGATTTGACCAGAATATTATGGCCATGTTATTGCAGTTTGTCGCCCTGGACCTCAATATTTTGGCCATGCACCGTATAAATTATTATTTAAATATAAATAAAATATATGTACGGCGGATGGGTGTTTATAAATAAAGTGCTGTTGCTTTGGCAATTTTATGCAAGTTTTTTTGTGTGTGCTTTTAATTTACTCGTTTTTCAGTTTATTTTTCATACTACAAACTTGGTTTTAACAAAAATCAGAAGAAACTTTTTATGGGGGGAAAAAGGATATAATACTTTAGACAAATATTAAAATTTTAGTTTAAGCTTAACAATTAGTTTTATTTACTTTCTTCTTTGTTTGGTTTTTCTGCAGAGATTTTACATGTACAGCGTTTTTTTGTTTTTATTTTTTCTTTTTTTGGTCGAAATAGGCAAGTTTCCTCTTAATTAGCTTGGTTTGCATTTTTCACGCCACTTAAACAGCTAAATATGTTAAGATTTTTTTTATATCCATGTTTTTACTTACTTTAATGCTAATGTCAAAATGGTATTTGGTTGCCGTTTTTGTTGTCTCTCTCTTAACTGGCAATTAGTTTAATTTGCCAAATCCTGTATTATATCCGCTACAAAAATAAAGAGAGAGAGAAAAATCGATTTGCGTTTAGTGCGATTTAAGCTCATTAATAAATAATGGTGAAATGTGCAATTTAAATTAATTAATGCAGGCATATGAGTGCGTTTCACTAAGCTATTAATTTGCAAGGGACTCGTTTTCATATATATATATCCCTTATTTTATTTATTTGTAACCAGGTCAGACTATGGATATAGATTTATCATAATATATAGATATTTTTGTATTTATCAAAAAATTCGCTCCAAATGCATTTGGATTTTGCATTCAATCAGCATAATGCCTCACTGAATGCCCCATTCATTTCGATTTGTATTTATATTTATTTAAATGCAACTCACACTAGATTCTAGATTCTATTCGCATTTTATTCGTTGCATTTATATAGAATATAAGTCTATATCTATTTCTATGTGAAAGTTGAAGCGCATTCGAGGTTTTCCATCTCGAAAGCTCGATTCAAATGCCAAAACACTTCACATATTTCGCTCTCTCTCTCTCTCACTTGCAATAACCTTTTCCACTTGTCACCGTCGGAAAATGCTTGGCATCGACTTCTCCGCTAACCCCGAGTTTTCCCCCGCTTTTCTCAGACTTTTGCGTTGATTTGAGGCGACACTTTATGCACTTTGACTTGCCTCTGACAATTGCAGCTTTTGCATAAATACATTTTCAGCATTTTCCCATACACACACACACCGCACACTCCACTTGAAGTCAAGTGGTTTTTGTGGAACTTCTCGCTCGTCTGCCACAATAAAATACTTTCGAAATTCGTCTCTCTGGTGGGGTTATTTTTTTTGTCTTGTTTTGCATTTCCCCCGCTAAGCTTTTCCCCCTGCGCTTCGCCTCGGAAAAACTCAATTAACGCTTATATTTTCGCCTCCGTTTTCGGGGGGTTTCCCCTCTACAAAATGTGACACGGTCGTTTGAGCTTTATGTTGACCGCTTGTTGTTATGTTTCATTACCTAATAAACATTTTATGAGACCGGGTTCTGGGAGGGGTTTGTTGTAGAGTTGGCCAAACAGAAAGACAGACGACCGGCGTAGCGGCCAAATTGGTAAATTGTTTGAAAAGATGCATTACACGCAGCTCGTTGGTCATCAGGCTCTCCCCCTCTGTTTTTCCCGCACAGTTTTCCGTAGCTTTTCAACCATTTTTCCCCCTCTCTGTGAACAAACCATTTTGGCCATGCCGTAATTAACAAGCTGCAAAACGGCTCCAATGGTCTGGCAATGAGTTTTCCGACATTATTTTTTTTTTTTACTCGTGGGCAAAGAGTTGATTAACTTTTTCAGGTGAGCTTAAAGGAACTTGAGAATTATTATTTTTCATATTTAATTCATATTTTTGTTCAGTTTTATATATATTAAATGTGAAATGTTCTTCTAGATGGAATTTTAATTTAATTAAAGAAGGTTTATATAAAGATTCCGCTTTATTTTTTATTGTTTTGTGCTAATTAAGGAATAAATTGATTTATTAGAGTATTTAATTATTGCAGAGTTACTATCTTCTATAAAGTCACTTAATGTTTTGACCCGTTGACTCCCATGTTGTTCCTCCTCCTTGGTCTCCTGATAGTCCTGATGGCTTCTGTTGGCCCATAAAACAAAACTCCTACTCCTGCTCCTGCCTTTTCCTTTGGCAGGATGTTTTGCCTGTGTAATGCCACTACTTGTACTTTTACCTGTTCCTGCCTCACAGGACAACCCTCTGGGCATCCCTGCTCTTGTATTTATGCCTATGAATATTTCATTTAATTGAAGCGCATTCATTACCAACCACAGCAACAACAACAACAACACCCACTCGGTGGTGCTATCTCTCTTGCACCACCGCCACCACCCCACATTCGCCGCACTTTCGGCGTTGTAATTAAAATAAATTTATTACGTAAAATGTTTTGCCAAAAAATTTGTCGAAAGTTGTGGCTTGGCCCCATGGCGTAATAAATAATGCTGAAGGTGTGTGTGTGTGTGTGTGTGTGTGTGTGTGTGTGTCTGGATGCTGCTGATGTATGTGTGGGTGTGAGAGCAGGTGTGGACAGTTGTGGTTAAGAAAATAGGGATATGAACAAGTATTATTAAATAAAAGATTTTGTAAGGTTTTCTATATAAAAGAGTACATTTTGTTTCCTTTTTGTTGGAGATTTATTTAAAGCTGTTATGTCTTTGAAACTGCCTTTAAAATATAAAAAATAATTGAGTTAACTATAAAACAAAAAGTTAATAAACAAACAACTCACATCTCTGTATATTTTAGGGTAGAGTATTTCAAAAACTAGATTTTATTACAACTTAAGTTTTTCAGACATATTATCGTTTTAAAACTACTTCTTTCATGGGAACATGTATTCCAAGAACTCTTCAAAAATAAACCCCCCTTCTGAACAATAAAACCCCCACAACACCTTAATTTTCCTGTTGCCACATTTTCTGTCCTATAATTTTGCCCCCAACTGTCTGACCCCCTCCTGGTTCGTGTAAATGTTTGTTTAATGATCTGTGCACGCTTTGTTGCTGCCGTTGTTCTACGGAAATTGATGCGGTTAATATGCTTCCAATTGTTAATTTTTGCGTTTCGTTTGTATTTTCCCCAAAAGCCACAAAATCATGGAAAGAACAGGGAAAAAAACACATCACACATATAATTTACACAGGGAAAGCAAATAGAAACCGAAAACAAAAGCTAAATCTAATCAACAGGAATAACAAACCGACCGAGGCGAGCAGCCAAACAAATTTAAATGTATAACCAAAAATTTATGATTATACCTCTCTGATTTGGCTAACCGAGTTTTTCCCGTGTTTCAGAAATTAATTTGTTAGACATGAAACTATTTTGTATGTTTGCTGGGATTTTTCAACCAAAATTGTGAATGGTTTAAATGGTGGAATTTAAATTGGAAAATAAGAAAGGAAGCAGCCATCGAAAAGTCGATATTTGTATACCTGTGTAGGATCATTGAATATAATATGTATCTTAAGTAAGCCAAAGATATATTTTTGGGATCGAAGGGTAATCACTAATTTATCACTACACCATCCTTATAGATGTAAACAGGTGGGAGGTCTCGCACAGACTGAGGCTAGTGCGAAGGCTGTGCCTTTATTTATACTCTGCGAGGAAAGAGAACAGAGAAGCGAGAGAGAGAGAGAGCGAGAGTGAAGGAGATATCTATAGATCTGGGTAGAGAGAGATGGAGAGCAAGCGATACACAGAGAGAGAGAGAGATTTATACTTTTACACTCACAGTTTTTGCATTTTCTCCACATTTAGGGATCAGTTTTATGAGAGCTATAGTTTTGAATAGAATTATCGGAGATCGAAAATCGAAAATCGATTATAACTAAGCTTAAAATATTCGCATATATTGAATCGATATTTATTAATATTTTTATATGACAATTTTTTCAACAAATCAAAGTTAATAAAATCCATAACTTGGGCAAAAAAGCATTAATTTTAATTCGAACAAGAAAGGAAGCTAACTTCGGCACGCCGAAGTTTATATACCCTTGCAGATAGAAATTCTATGACTAGAAATCCATACAATATAAATTATATATATTTGTGTTAAAAAACAATGAAGTAATACCTGCTTTCATTTCATTCACCTATACATATTATATTTGCAGCTTTTCGTTCACAGATTTCCATTTTTCTTCTACATCAAACAATAGTTTGTATGGCACCTATATGATATAGTCATCCGATTTTCATTAAATTTGACACAAAATTTAAGACTAATATATAATTGGCTACACCTCAAATTTGATGAAAATCTGTTGAAAACTGAAAAAGTTATAATTTTTAATTGTATTAATTTCTCGATCGTTCCTATGGGAGCTATAAGATATAGTAGTCCGCTTTTCATAAAATTTTATACAAAATTGTAGAGTATAATAAAATGGCTATATCTCAAATTTGATCCAATTCTATTGAAAACTGAAAATGTTAAAATTTTTTTTTTTAATTTTCCGATCATTCCTATGGCAGCTATATGATATAGTCGTCCGATCCGGCCCGTTCCGACATATATACGAGTGAGAGTATATAGAAGGCTAACTACAAAGTTTCATTCAGATAGCTTCAAAACTGAGAGACTAGTTTGCGTAGAAACGGACAGACGGACAGACGGACAGAAGGACAGACGGACAGACGGACAGACGGACAGACGGACAGACGGACATGGCTAGATCGACTCGGCTGTTGATCCTGATCAAGAATATATATACTTTATATGGTCGGAGGTGCCTCCTTCACTGCGTTGCAAACTTCTGACTGAAATTATAATACCCTGCAAGGGTATAAAACTGTCCCATGTTAGTTTTGACACGGTTTATAAATCTGTATACTCAACTGAAAACAAAAAAAAAAATTTTTTTTTTGCAATGTTTTTTCGACAATTTTAATCCCTTAAAAATTTTGAAAAAATTTGGAGATTTTTTTTCTTGGAAAACTAGCTAGAACGATTCGCCTGTTGATGCTGATCAAGAATATATATGATTTACAGGGTCGGAAATTATTCCTTCACTGGGTTTTAGGCTTTAGTTGACTTGCTGTATATATATATTTTAAACTCTCTGCAAATTTATTTTTATTGTATTGCAAAAAATTCCTTAACAATTAATCTGACTAAAGCTGCAGTACTTTATCTAATTGACGCCAAAGTCGACTTAATGCTAAGGGCCCTTGCCTTCCTCTCTCCCAATCAAATCAACTTCAGCTCAATCGAAATTTAATCACTCAAACGCTGTTTTGGCGAATTCCTGGGTATCAACACCCTTAACTAGGAGAAAATGATATCGGGAATACACACATACTACACACACACAAACAGGAGGACAGGACTAATTGAAACTCACGGCAAAAGGCAAGCCGAAGAGCTCTGAATTGAATTGAATGCCAGGCGGGGCAGCTTGCAATTCAATACGACGAATGGAGCGAAACACTCGAAATAAAAATGTTTGGCATTGCGTAACGCGCTCTGTGATTTGTGCTCTTTGGACTGGACTTTATTTTGGCCAAAACCGTAGACTGGGAACTAGATGATGGAGAGGGAAAGGGAGAGGGAGGAGCGGCAATTGGGATTGCGCACAAATCGAGAAAAGCCGGTAGCTGGAAAGCATTGCATACTTTGCAGCGCAATTTTGGGCATTGAAACAACAGCGAAATACTTGGCTTTTCCCCTTGTTTGCTTGCTTCTTTTTTTTGTTTTTGTTTTTCTTAGCTATCCTCTTGTATAAAAGTCAAAACCAGGGTTTGGGGCCAATATAAAGTGGTGCACCAAAAGGAGAAGCGGGTTAACAAAACTCTACTACTGCCGGCTATTGCTTTTATTGCTTTAAACTGGCCCTCGAGTTCCACTTGCCATTCAACTTGAGTACTAAGTCCTGAGGAGGAGTATCCTTTTGGGAGCCTTTCGGAGAAAAGGAGTCAGGAAAAAAAGTAAGTAAGTAAGCCAGGTTACCCAAGCTCATCTTGAGCTGACATTGCGTCAACCCTTTTAGACCATCCTTCAAAGATTTTTGGTCTGCATTTGCTACCATAGTTTGTTGGCCAAAAAAAGAATATTTTTGAGACACCACAAAGAGCTATATTTTGGCTCTTGGATTTTTACTTAAAATATAAATAATAAAAACAATTTTTGTGGTGTCAATATTAAGCAAAATGTAGTTAGTACAAGTTCTTTCCTTTTGTTTAATTAACCCAACTTCTTCTCCCACACAATGTTCAACCGAAAAAATCCAGTAACTATAGCGCAAGGTCTTTCCTCTCTCTGGAAAAGTTGTCTTTATCAATGATCATTAAGGGTATTTGTGGCTACAGTTGGACCGCAGCTGTTCATCTTTCTCGGTTTTTCCTTTTTGCCCATCTTGAGTTGGCATATTTTCGTTGGTGTTTTTTTTCCCCCCAATTTTTGGACTCTGCTTTGTTGCTTTGTGGCCAAAAATGCGGCACACAAACTGCAGGGAGGTGGAGTTTGAGAGTAAAAAAACAGGCAACAGGAGAAACGAGCAAAAGTAGAGTCTTTGGCCATGGCTTTTGTTTTAATTGAAATGTTTTTGCTCCTCCGACGGGATGCAGCAACTGCAGCTGCTTCTCTTTTCTAAGCCGATTAGAAGCAGTTCATAATGTATACGGCTAAATATGAAAGCTTGGTCAGGAGGATGTTTTGCCCCATTTTCTCTCGACGATTTCCAGCGGAGGTTGGAAAACAATTGTTTTGGTCCACGCCTGCCAAGAGAGACCGCAATAGCCGCAGTCTCTCTCTCTCTCTATCTCTTTCCCCTTTTGTCTCTCTGTCTAATTGAAGCAGCATTTAGCCGTAATACGGGGCGTATGCGGAATATGAAACGGGAATACGGAACGGATATCTTATGCATAACAGCACAAAAATCACGCATACGCCGTGTGTGTGCCAAAGTGCATACTACAAAAAATAAAGAAAGGAAGGAAAAAGAACCGCAGTTGAAAGTAAATGCCGAGCACTCGGGCATTAAGCTATAGCTATATCTACAGGTATAGGAGGTAGCTATATCTATATAGCTCTTGCATTCGCATTCCCACTCGCATTCCCAATCGCAATTGCAATCCTTTTTATGCATTCCATGTGGCATTGCGGCCGACAATGGAGGAAAATCAATCAATTTCTCGTTCGCTGAGGTCTTTGCGGTTAAGGGGCATGAAATTCTATTAGAAATGCAGGTAAACATTAGTAAAAAAGGAGTCATAAATTGAGGGTTTACTAAGGGAAATATAGAGAGTTATACGACATAATTAAGTTAAGGGAAATTAAAAGTATTTCAATAATCTAGAGAGTTCATTTGATGGAAATATAGTTCATATTTTAAGTTTATTTTTGGTTTGCTATATTTTTAAGGTATTTATTTTGTATCTAAAAATCCAAATTGCTGAGTTCGTTAAACTTTCTTTAAGGTTTCCATATTTTCAGTTATTTTTATTTAGTTAAACTTGTTGCTTTTTTGCAATCAATTTCAATTACACTGTCAGCTTCAAATGTTTTGCTTTCTATCCAATTTTGTTCAACTTTGCCATCAGTTCTCTTTATATTTTAGCTGGAAATATCTAGTTTCTTGCAGTGTACTCTTGCTTGTTTGCTTTTATTTATATCGGGTTGTGTGTGCGTGGGTGTGTAGTGTGGTGTGTGGTGTGTGTGCATGTGTATCGGTTTCGCTTCGGCGTTTCACTTCACTTACAGCTGGCAGCGTTGTTTGATTTTGATTTTGTAAAATATTTTCTGCTCTTGCATTTTACATTTTTAATAGCGCTGCACTCGCTCGCTGGCTCCTCTATCCATCCATCCATCCATCCATCTATCCATCTATCCATCTCCTTCTATTTGGCCATAGTTTGTTTTGGTATTTTCCAGCATTTCAACTCCTTTTCATTCTATTTTTTTGGGAGGAGCAGCAGAATTTGTTGTTTTTCTGGGGAGACAACAACACCCCCTAGAGCTGACTATTTTATGTGCATTTATCTGTGTACATTGGTGCATCCTGCCTCTCTGTTGCAGGATATATACAGATGCAAATTCTATACAGAAATGGTTGAATGTGTGCCATTGTCCCGACAGTGAGGAAATTCTATTTTATTTATTCGAGCAGCTTGAGCTGGAAGCAACAGCAGCAGCAGCAGCAAAACTCTTAGCCAAACATTTCCCACCACTTAAGTGCATAATCAATCAAACTGATTTCGTAGTCGCCTCAACCGATTTCAGATTTAGTTTTCTTTTTTCTTGGGCTACAGATTTTTGTGTTGGTATTGGATTTGCGAATGGATTATTTCTTGAAGGGAAGTGTAATTGTTACACGACCAATTTGTAAGGCAATAAGCACATTTATGGGATATTACAAAAGGAAAATATGGAAAGTGATGTGTAGCTGTGTTTTAATTAACTTATACCATAGTTTGGCTATATTTAAAAATCTATAAATGGTTCTTGAGGGTTTAAAGTAAACTAAAAGGTTCTTAGACGTTTGAATTTATGTATTTATAAAGATAAGAACTTTAAATGTTCTATCAAAAACCATAATAATTCTTAGTTTAAACTCTAAGCCATTAATTTGAAATTCTAAACTCACCCAATTGCTGTTGCGGTTTCGACTGTTGCTGCTGCTGCTGTTGCAGATCCTTACGCTGCGGTGGCAATGGAGGTTGCTTTCCCGACTTCCTTAGAGTTCCGTAACGCTGCGCTGCTTGCAACATTTCGTGTGGCGCCAGGGGTTGCGCCACCGAGGAGCTTCCACTTTGCGGCGTGAAACTCTGCTGGCTCAGAGAACTGGTCACCGTTTGAATGTGCGGCGAATAGCCACTGTAGTCCACCAAGCCACTAAATGCCGATGGCGGTCGCTCCACATAGATTTGCTGCGACTGAGCGGCAGCTGCCAATTGGAGGCGCCACAATGCCTCCTGTGACAGATCCCTGGCATTGCTATAGTTGTTCTCGGTGGAATTGTTGCTCGACCCTGGAAATTAGCGCACATTGAAGTTAAAGTGGCTTAAATTACTAGTTAGTTAATTTAGTTGTGCATCTATGGCAAAAAAAAGAGGTGTGGAAAATACGAAAGGTTGCCAGTGCTTAAGGTGAGTGAGGAAACTTGAAAGTCACAGTGGCTAATTGGAACACACACACACATAAATCAACTCGAAACACGTTTATAATATATGGTTATTTATATAGAGAGTAAGGACTATGGCCAGTCATTCCCATCAGGCAGCTGTCCAAAAAGAGAGTTAAGCTTAATATAGACTGGTTTTCATAATAAAGCGGAATATTTAAGACTTTGTTTAATAAGTTGTGAAGAGAAAATATTAAAGAATCTTCAGTTTGATTATCTCAACAAACATATTCTATATCATTTCAAGTGCATTTGATTAAATCATTCCATTCAAAGTGCAATGCTTATTCAAAGGGTTTTTCTCTTAATTCAAATAGCATTTTATTTAATTTGACTTGCATGTGTAGTTTTTTCGGGTAAAAATGATTCAAACAAAATAACGAAAACTTTCACGATGCAATTTTTTGATTTGGATATTGCCCAAAGGACCACGATCTATCGTCGTCCTGGTCCGTTCCATGGTTTCGCCGAAGCTTTCATTTTCCGAAGACATGTTATGGTGGCGGCCACTAATTGTCGTGATCCTGTGACCAGGATATCCAATTCGTTCTTCATGCCATATGACTGTCTTCCGTATTTATTTTGTAGAGCATCGAAGAAGGCATTTATTGAAATGGATAGCTGTGAGCTATCCTTTTTGCCATTCTCCTCGCACAGAGATCTCCAACTGCCGGCATTTCGCCTGGCCCTTTGAAGATCCTCCATGCCGTGCCAGACCGTCCCCTTGCCGTCCTCCTCGATCACTGTCTGACCTTCAAAGAATTTCGGACAGGACACAAAGTAGGCCTCCTCGAAGCGTACTTGACTCCGAAGAATGGTCAACAGATCCTTGGCATTGAACTCATTTACCTTGTTAAGAGCAATATCTTTGGCTGGCGACTGGATCGTGTCCTGCCGTAGAACCAATTCTGGCAAGCCATCATGGACTCAAAGGTGTCGGCACTATCCAGATATACATTGAACATATCATGTTTTATGAAATCAAATTGCCCCGGTTGCTCGAAGGTCTCAATGCCACGTGTTGCGCCTGGCGTTAACATGGTCGAGTTATCGGCAACACCAACAACATATTCCGGTCTGTGCCGCCGTAGGAAATCATAGGCCAATTGTATGCCCAAAGAACCATTCAATCTCATGGTATAGTTGGCGCTGTTCATTACCTGTTTGTTGCTCACATTCCCATCGATATAGTCATTGAAAGTGGGCACCCTTTGCAGCTGCACACCAATTTGATTGGCCTTCTGGGCCAGAACCTCACAGCATTCCGTTTGGGTTACATTGGTGTAAATACTTGCCGCCGGTTTCATAATTGCCGCCTTGGCCCAGGCTATATCTCTCAAGGAATTACTCAGATTCGAGCTCTGCTCCCAACCCAGACTGGTTATACCAATGGTCTCGGCATGCGTAGCGATATTTGTGGCATCACTGGCACCTCCTGGACCAACCTCTAAGATAGCAACTTCTACCTGAGCCTTTTGGAAGGCATGAAAGGCCATCACTGTCAGAATTTTGTTATAAGATGGCGGTGGATTCACGTTTGCCAATTCCATATTGATTTTCCAAAAGAGTTGTGTGAATGCCACTTCATCCAAGGGTTCACCATCGATTCGTATTCGTTCGCTGGTTAGGAAGAGATGAGGTGAGCAAAGGACTCCCGTCTTTATACCATGACAACGCAATATATTCTCTACGATTCCGCAAGTTGAACCTCTTCCCTTGGAGCCAGCTATCTGGATCACGGGTATGGCCTTCAGTTGATCCCTGCTAAAACCCGTCTTCTCCAGACACTCTAGAGTTTGTTCTATGGTTGGATCCAGCTCTTTCTTGAAACTTTTGGTGGTGACTCTGCCGGCGACAGGCTCCAGAGCCTGATAACTATTCAGTTGCTTAATGGCATCCAAATAGGCTATGCGTTCCGGTGTCTGTTCTTCGGGCTTTTCCGGTTCAGCGGGAGAGACGACTGCTGATCCTTGGTGTGCCGAAGATGCATCACCTGATGTCTGATGTCCCGGCATCACCTGCTGCATTTTCTGCACTTTCTGAGCTTGAATATCCCTGCCCGCCTGCTGCTTGGCCTGCATATCCTTGAGCCACTGTGCCTGCTTTTTCTGCTGTGATCCTTGCATTCGACTCATCCAACTTTGTCGCTGTGACTCACTGGAGGAACCCTTGATAGCTGCCGAGTTGTCAGAGTCTGGTTTTTTTTGCTGTTGATTTCTGGGCATTCCACCGAAGTTTGGCACAGGACTTTGGCCAGGAGTCCCAAAGTTAGGATTATTGCTGGGATTAAAGTTGTTCTTTGGCTGATTCGGAGGTGGATTTCCCTTGCCAGCTGATAGCTGAGCCTTCTTTTTCATTTCCGGTGAGACTTTGGCCATCCATTTCGCCCGCTGATCGGGTATTATGGGTTGTGCACAGGGTTTCTTGTTCCCCAGAGGACTCGTTGTGCCCTCTGACGGCGGTGGGGATGGAGTCGGTGGGGCCTTTTGTGGTGTGGGAACCTGACTGGATTGCGACGACTGCGACTGCGAGGGCTGCGAGGGTTGGGACTGCGATTTCGTCCTTTTCTTGGAGAACTCGGTAATGGCCGGCGTCGTGGAGCCCTTCAGATACGGTGCCTTGAAGCATGCCTTGAAGAAGCTCCGGCTGGACAGGATCATCAAGTGGGGACATTGTCTTCGGTAGATCGACGGCAGCAGCGAAACCATTCCAACAATGGCTTTTTCCAGAAATTCAAGTCCGAAATGTACTGTTTGTTTTTTTGTAGATTTTATGTACGCGAATAATGGTGGAGGTAATAATGAATAAGAATTCTGTGTTTTTTTTTCTGACTTGTTTTTAACGTATTTGTTTTTCAGTGTCAACCTTTCGGACACATAAAGGAAAGGTAGAGAAAGATGTTTAAAGAAAGAATTAAGTGGAATTGATTTCCATTTTGACAATGTTCTGCATACTGGAAATGTTTCACCCAGCTATACTATCATATAGTATGTTATGAAATATTTAAATTATTTTCAGAGAAACTCCTACTTAAACTTGAACAGAAGCTCTTTCTCTTAATTCTTTTACTTCAAAACTCGAATACTGATTTTCACCACAAATCACCTTAATTTAAATTTAATTATTTCGGAGTGCAGAGTGAGGAAAATATGAAGAATAAATCAACAGCGAAAGTATAGTGCTTATAGTTCAATGCAAAAAAGTTCACCAACAGATAACACCAATTTTACACCATAACCCTTAATTTCTTTTCGATTATTTCGCCTGGTATTTAAAATATTTCAATGTGCAATAACAATTAGTGGGAAAATATCGATATTACAAATTCTATATGGTGCTTGCATATTTTGTTTTGCTATTTTATGTGCAACATTCAGTGCATAGTTTTATTTTGTATTTAGTGGTGAGGTGCGAAAGTTAAAGTTGTTGTAATTTTGTTTTTTTTTTTTTTTTTCACGCCGGCCTTATAGCTGGTGTTACCTGTGATGGCAAGGGTTGTTGTTGTTGTGGCAGTTTTGGCATTACGAGATGTTGTTGTAATGGTGGTGGCCAATGCTGTTGTTGTTGCCGCCGTGGCTGCGGTCACCAGCGACCTTTCCCTTTCTCTATTTCCCAAATGGTTGCGCTTCAAGGTGGTGTTGTTGTTGTTGTTGGTGTTGGTGTTCTGGGTTATGTTGGTGTTGGTGATGATGTTGTTGTTGGTGGTGTTGCCGGGAATGGTGGGTTGGTTCGTTAGATTGGCGCGTGCTGTATGTTGCTGCTGATGCTGCATGGGATTAATGTTGCTGCCGCCGCCGATGTTGCATGTTGCTGGTGTCGCCTAAGTGGTCCTGCTTCGGTTGCAACCGCACACACACAGAGTGCACCCACCAACGATGTGTATGAGAGAGTGTGTGGAGAGAGTGTGTGGAGAGTGTGTGGAGTGTGTGTGGTTCGGCAGGAGCGAGGGCAGAGAAATAGTAATTAAGTTGACGCTTGCCAGAGGGAGACGCAAAAGAAAAGAGAGCAACAAAAGCCAGCGGAACCCCACAATTAAAATGCATTCTTGAGGGGAGAACACTTGGAGAAAAAGCTACCACTAATTTATATATAAAATATGATTTGAAATATAATATAAATAATATAATTACTGAATGATTAAGGACTTTTAGGAATATTATTAAAGATAAAGAATAAGTCAGCAAAAATATCACTTCTGTCTTTAACATTAAATTATTTATTATTAAGGTACAAAAAGGTTTTTGATTCTATTTAAATTAAATTTCTCCCTATGATTCTTTTGATTGCTTGCAAAAATATAACATATAGTATATTCTTCTTTAAGTGCCAAAACTCCCCTCCATTTAGTTTTAAACTTGTAGCTTTCCATTTAGGTGTGAATAGAGTTCACTTCTTTATTGTTCCCATTCCTAACTTCTTTTTGCACTGGCTTCCGTTAGCAGAAGTGAAGGTGGAAAATAAGATGCGGAACGCCGTTTTTGGGTTTGGGTTAAGTTCGACGGCCTAATCGGATTAAAGCCTAAAGTGGTGGATCTCTTTAAGGGGATTATTTAGGAAAATAATTTATAAATGCAAATGGAATAATTACCTAGCATTTGATTATGAAATTTAGGAGTTTGAGAACTTTGTTTCTTTTGGAGTTTATCTTCATTTGATATAATTTTCAGGGTATTACAATTTCTGCCAGAAGTTTGCAACGCAGTGAAGGAGTCATTTTTACCATATAAAGAATATATATTCAGCATCAACAAACTAGTTCCTAAGTTTTGAAATATATCTCAATGAAACTTTGCAGTTATCTTCTATCTAATTCGATTCAAAGCTATCTTTTATTATTACAGAATTTCGTTTATAGTTTAAGAAAATTGGAATACTATACAATATAGCTGCTAGAGATACGGTTGTTACGTTGAGAATCAGTAAATATCTTTAAACAGTTAGTACTAAGATCAGTAATTAACTATGATAGTAAGTATATATGACCGTAGTATCTATGACCAGTAAGAACGTCTGATTATAAGTATCTATATACAGCAAGTATATATGATCAGTTACTAACTTTGAACACTAGTAAACAATGACTTGCAACTTTTGTAACACAACACATATCTGAGACATGGCTGGCAGAAGTCACTTCGTTCCGGGATGTTTGAACAGGTTGAGAATCATATGCACAGACGTGCGAGATTTGTTTTGGAACAATTTAAGCTATTTGATTGAAGCTATGGAGTTATCTTCTATATAATTTTACTAGTATCTAAGTCGGAGGATGGAGAATCGGTGGACTATATATATATACATATATATAGCTGCCATAGGAACGATCGGAAAATATTAAGAAAAACAATTCTAACTTCTTCAGTTTTGAAAAGATTTTCTTCAAATTCGATATATAGCCACTATATATTAATCTAGAATTTTGGGTAAAATTTTATGAAATCTGACTACTATATCATATAGCTGCCACAAGGAACGATCGAAGTTAGCTTCCTTTCTTTTTAAAGTTGAATAAGAAAATAAACTAAAAATCTAAACGAGAGGCATTTAATTGTTCAAATATTCAATGGCAAAAACTTCTATTATTTAATTATAGTATACATATCAAAGTAAGTTAATGAAAAGTATTTTTCTTTAAAATGTGGACATCATTTGTAAGCTTACTATAATTGCTCTTATTAGAAAAACTCTCATCTCTTAACTTGGACTTTGTCTTAGCGTCAAACGAATTGCCCTGAATTGAGTTCTTAAATCAATTAAAAACACATATTGCTCTTAAAAATCTCTGATGATTGCTTTTGGATTTCGCAAAAGCTCTTGAGCCGCCTTGTAACCAATTAAAAACGGGCAATAATACATGGCCAACACACATATATACACACACTGGACGTTACATTCGTGGGGACAAAAGCCGGCTGAAGGATAACGGCTTAATTCTCACTTAATTGGAATTACGATGGCAACATTTTCAGCCGCTCCCGTTTCCGTTGGCCATTGGTGTCATTTCGGTTTCCAAGGCGAGCTGCTTATGCCCGACACCAAACACCATGGAAAATTGGGCGAAATTTGGTTGGAAAATCCGTGGGGGAAAGAGCTGGCGCTGCCGCTGCATTTGCATGAGTAGCTCGGTAAGTGGAGGAGGATCCGCTCTAGATTGACATGAAATGCAATTACGGCCAAAAACTCCAACCCACGGGAGGGGGAAGGCTTTCGGTGATGCGGTGGAAAAGGAGACAGACCATCGCAATGGCCGCCATAAATCTGCGACGAAAAATGTGTCGCTTAATCAAGACACACACACAGGACAGACACACACACACGCCTAGCGAAAGTGGGGGATATCACGTCATCCGATCCCCATACCTCTCCAATCCTAGCGCACATTTTCGGAGCCACGACACGTCTCTTCATAAGTTGTCGCCTGGCCGAAACGAATTTTCTACAGTCAGGAAAATATTAAGAAAGGAAGTAAGAGGAACTTGGGGGAACATTTTTGGAATGCTATATAAAGGAAATCTTAAGATATTGTACCTTTAAAAAGGAACTGAACACAACACCTTCTTTTAATACCTTTTCTTTAAGGAATTATAATAATTTTCCCACCCTCTAATTAGTAATTTCTCCCTCCCCACCTTAATTAAAAATTAATATAGGTTTTTTTTGTTTTTTTTTTTGCTTTGTACTCACACTCTCCGGCACCTAGGCCATGTCCATGTCCATGTCCATGTCCATGCGATCCGGCTGCTGAGTTGCCGGCGGTGGGCAGAACTTGATAGCTGTCGCCGTCCACGCCGATGGCACTTGTCACATGATAGCCATAGCCGTTCGAATGTGGATGCTGTCCGCCGGAACTGGCTCCTGCTCCTCCAGCTCCTCCTCCTCCTGCTCCACCACCACCACTGCCTCCGTAAATTCCCAGAATGGCTTTGGGCTGCTGGTACTGGCCGTGGTTATTGTGGTGCTGCTGTTGCATATTCAACTGTTCGTCGGGATCATGAAGGGCGGTGAGGGTGAGTTCCATGCCACCATTACCACCCACCATGTCCTTTGAGTCCAGGCTGCCACTGGGATAGTATGGTGGCGGCGGTAGGGGTTGTTGCTGCTGTTGGGATTGCTGCGGGTCGTTTTGGTTGAGTGAAGGTCTACGGCTGGCGTCCAAGTCAAGGTCGTATTCCTTGGCACCGGCAGAAACGCCTCCACCACCTCCCCCCTCCTCCTCCTGGTGTAGTGGTGGCATCTGTACTACTGTCCTTTTTGGCGGCATGTGTCCTGCGACACCGACAGAAGGCATAAAGCAGGGCCAGAAAGATACAAAACGAGAGCGAGGCAATAATGATGGCCACCAGAGCGGAGGTGGTCATGGAGGAGTTGTGTGGCATATAGGATTTACCAACTGGAAGAGGGGATAATATAGGTTATATTAAGGATCTAATAAGTTTTTAGTAATAATCATCTTTAACTTACTTTCTGCATTTGCATAGGCTCCACAGTGTTCGTGGTTTGATCTCAGGCAGAGTTTCACTCGCACCACTGGTCCAGGACCTGCTGTCTCCGCCAAGGCCATAGTGCGATCTTCACCAAGATGAGTCCCTACTCCACCTCCTCCCACACCCAAGCTCTCCTGATGTGTAGCTGTGGTATAATGAGCTGGTTTGGACATGTGATTAATTACAGCCTCTTTGAAGGTCGTTTCACTGCCAGAAGAAGGCAACGTTAGAGTCTCTACAATTTCCCACATGGGTACAGTTGCATCGCGGGTTACCAAGGATTCCACCACGGCAATAGGATAAACAGTGGCAGCCACATTGATGCCCAAAACATGGGAATTGGGATCGTAGCTTACATGCAATGGTGGTGGAATCTTACTAACTTTTGTGGTGGCCAAAACTTCATTGGAATACCCAGAAGTTCCTTCGAATTCAATGCATAAACCTTGAACATGTAGCTTTGATGTTGATCCAAGGGAGCCAGCTTACAGGGATTCTCCTTGAAGCAATTGAATTCGATCCATTCGTGGTTGGAATTACTGGAAGAGCTGCCTATTTGATAGCTGGGTATATAGCCATGTCCCGAGCAATCCGATAGGGTTTGCTCTCTGGGTGTGGCCACTCGACGATAGCTAATTAGATATTTTGTGCCCATGAAGCCTCCATTAAATCCGGGTTGCCAACTAAGTACAGCATAATTGTGACCCACCTCCAAGATCTTTAGATTCATAGGTTTCTCCGGTGCTCCTTGGGTTGTAATCTGATGGGTGCTCTTATGCTATCCAAAGGATTCACAGCTCTACAGATGTATTCTCCATAATCCGAGTGCTGTAAGTGAGCTATCCTTAGAATGGAAGTGTAAATATCATTATTCTCCATTCGGGTGCTTATCTCATAATGACCATCCGAGGACATGGTCAAGGTGAGGGATTATTGCCATATTGCCATTGAAATTCAGGTTTGGGATAGGCCTGAACACGGCAAACCACTTCAGCAGATTCCCTTAGATCGTAGGCCACCTTATTATATTGATGAATAATTATGGGTTCATGTTCGATCCGCAAATGCATTGAGGAATTTGCAGAATTAACATCATTTTCATAAAGACAGGTAAATAAACCTCTGTCATTTGGTAACAATTGATTCCCATTGGGTCTGGCTTTGCCTCTAAAACGCAGGATACTCTGCACAGCAACCACACCACCACCGGCGTCTGTGGGCGTGGTCCTTATATCGAACATCTTACGCGTTGGCAGGATCTCGGTGCCATCCTTAATCCATCTGATTTGGGGTGTGGGCTTCCCCTTGGCACTGCATGTCACCGCATAGTCCACATCACCCACTCTCCTTGTCATGTGTTGTTGCAACTTGGCCAGAAATTGTGGCGGTTGATGTACCTCCAGGATAATGGTGGCTATCTTACCAATACCCAGCTCATTCACCGCATGACAATGGTACTTTCCCTCGCTACCCAAGTGTGCCTTGGGTATGGAATATTGTGGTCCTTGAGCCAGGATTTTCTGTGTATTTCCAATGTCACCATCCATGTCACGGAACCAGCGATACTGAGGGACAGGCCAGCCTGGTGGATTTGCGGAACAGGTTAGGGTAACACCATTACCCACATGAACCACCGGTTTATTGGGTGTTATATATGCCTGTCCTGGACGATGTCGTACCAATAAAGCCACCGTAGAGTTGCCCACACCTTCGATTCTCTTTGAATTGAAAGGTTGCATTATATTCACCGATCTGCAGATATAATTTCCAGCATGTTCTGCCTCACAGAACCCAGAGTTAAGAGTTCTCCGGTATATCGGAAATCAGGAGCGCCTTCCTTTAACCATTCAATATTGATGGGTGAAGGATTGGCAGTGACATTGCAACGAATTAGCACAGTTTCACCCTCCTCAGCCTCATGGGTCTTTGATTCGATCACCACAATGGGGGATATAGTACATCCAGGACTATATCCTTTTCACCTGTTTTGCCCAAACCATTATCTGCATTGCAAGTATATTTCCCAGCATGATGACGATTTACACGATAGATGGTATGAATGGGTGTGGCACTCACGTATTGACCATTTCTGGACCAACGGACATTGCTAACCATGGGTTTGGCATCCACACGGCACTCCAATTTGGCAACATGATCGCGTTCAATGCGAAGAGGATTCTGGGGTCCCACCTCCACGCGGGGATAATCTGGAAAAAAGTATAGGAAAATTAAGAAAAATGTGTTGGGAAAATGAGAAATATTATATATATATCGGATAGGTTTTGCTTTTGGGTTTGCAGTACTTTTCTCATAGGTATTTTATTTCTTCTCCCTAAAGTTAAATCCCTTTGAATGGCTATAATTTTTTAAATTATTCACTCATTCGCTGAAGCTATTAGAAATCTCCCTTTAGCTATTTTTTCGGTTCATTTGGGTTAGCATACAAATAGGCAATTACAGTAGCTAGTTTAGATTCTTGGTTGGCTGGTTGTTTGGGCCATTAACTTGTCAATAACCGTTTTCAATTACAGGACGGCGGCAACATTGTTCGGCCAGCAGGGGGAGAAAAAAACAACAACTGAAACTACAGTTTATACCAAGTGAAGGACGTTGACGAGTTCAGCGTGACCCATCGACATTTTTAAATAATGCCATTTTGTGTGGAACAAAAAAAAGCAATATATGTTTAGTAGTATGTATGTTTGGGGGAATAGCCCTGGAAATTGCAGGGAATAGTTTTTTATGGGCAAAATAATACAGTGGTTGAAGTTTAGGGTTTTTATACGAAGATATAAGTATTAAAACATATTATTTATAAGCATTTTTTCTCTCTCTAAAAGGTATTTGCTTGGTACACATTTTTGTAATAATTAAATAGAGGTTCTCATAGTTTTAGCAGTCTATAAACTTTGATAAAAATGTGTTTATTTTGAAATAAAATGTTTTTCAATTGAAATGGATAGTTAACTCTTCTTTTCTGTCTTCATCTAATTAATTCTTTTAATAACAGCTCCTCCTTTTAATATAACCAATTATTTCCTTTATCATTTAAGTCTTTGAACATTTTATTCTCGTAATTAGTGATGATAAACACAATAAACCCTGTCATTTTGTAATGAATATATATATTCCCTCTTTACTCTCAATGATTTTGTTATTTTATTATGTCAAAACAATAAATATCTTCGCAATTGGAGTATTCATAATTGAAATGTCGACGGTAAATGCTACTTTATTCGATTCCCACTTTCAGTTGCCTTTATCTGTCATTTATCTGCCAACTTTAACCATTTCCAAATGTCGGTACCGGGACCGGGACCTCTGAACATTTTCCACTGAACTTTTCCTCGTTTAACTCACCATTGTGCACACACTCTCCTCTCCGTTCTCTCACTGGTCATTTGGTTTAAGTGCCGTTAGTTTCATTCCGTATCGAATCGGTGGCACTACCCCTCATTTATCCCCAGGCTTTCCCTCCGCGGAAAAGCGGGGGCCCAGTCAAGCGTGAGGCATAATAGTGGCTAAGTATAATTGTTGCTGCTGTTGTTGTTGCGCCAATTAACTTTCGAACACTTTAGTTTAATCACCAGACGGCCCAGCCGAACGCTGGAGTCTGACCTCCGACCTCCTGCGTACTGCGTACTGCCTATTACCACCTACCACCCCTTTTTTTGCACCCCCCCTCCACATTTCCCTGCGATTATAGCCGTTACCCCCCTCATGTAGTTGTTGCCAACATTTTCCCCGCCAATTGTTTTTGTTGCCTCTAATTCGTGAAGCGAAGTAAATGTGCCTGCGTCATGGTCTAAACTCCGCGGACTTACCAAATGGACAGGACGAAAAATAAAAAACAATCATCTGAAACATGAATTATAAAACAGTGACTTTAAGGTACTCTTTTCTTAGATTTTTGCAATCATTCTTTTTTATCAATCGAATGTTAAGGTTTTCTGTTTTAAAATGGTATGAAAGTCCTTTGGTATTTAGAAAATTATTAAAAGTATAAGGTGAGGTTTTGGGTTTTCTCTATAGAAGAGAGCTTGTTAAGTATTATATTAATTAATTAATTAAAACCAAATAGGAAATGTGTTTGGTACAAAGAATAGGTTCAAGGTTACAAAAATAACAAGAGGATTCAATATAAAAAGGTGATTCCTTAAATATATATATTCTTACTTGTCGTTTCTTATAAATTTGGGTATATTTTATACCTTTTCAGGGTATTATTTTTCAGTAAAAGCTTTTAATAATATAACGGAGTTATTTCCGACTCCATAAATCATATATATTCTTGATCAGCATCAAAAGCCGAATCGATTTAGCTATGTCCAGTCAAAATTTAATTTGTTCAAAACTTTCGATCACTTTTTAAGGAATTTCATCGGTAAAATTGTCCAAAAATGAATCAAAAATTTTAATTTTTTTAAATTTTATACTGGGTACGCAGATTTATTACGTTAACAAAAACTAACTAACGCGAATTGAAATTAATCAATTTTTGGCTTAGGTTTGAGTTTTTTAAACTTTGATTTTGGAACAAATGTATATATAAAAAATGATTAGATATATTTTAAATGGAAATATTTTAAGCTATTTATGATCGATTTTATTAATTTACTCTACAAATCTATTGCCAACGTTCTGAACTTCGAGTTCCCGAAGTCAGTTTCCTTGCTTATTTAATTATAAATCAAGTTGATGTTCTGTAATTAACTATACATCCTAAAAATTATTATTATATTACGTCATTTAATAATTTAAACTTTTATTTATATAGTATAGTATTTCTAAGTTGCAAATATATCTAAATTAAATACAGTTTAGTCTCTAAAAAGTGGAACTCTTTTCAAATACATACAACATACACTTTCAAGGTCCATGCTTGTCCCATTTTGAAAATATTTTTAAAAAGAATTTCCATGGCTTTTCTTTAAGCAGAAATGCCCGGCAAATACAACCACATCCTAGAGAAAAAAATGCTGCGTTATCCGGGACCCAATTACGCGTCGCCCGAAAACATTAAAGCCTAACTCCTAAATGAGGGCCACTATGTGTTGCTGTTGGTATGCGTGTGCGTAGCTGTATGTGTGTGTGTGTGTGTGCTTGCTGGTGTGTGTAATTATAAAATAAAATTTAATGAGCAGAGCTTGTCAGCGCGGACCAGCGGGAGAGAGAGAGAGAGGATGGAGACCAGGAAAACAGAAGCCACCAAGGAGAAGCAGGACCCCGAGCAGGAGGAGGAGGAAGGAAAAAATCAAGTTTGCATTTCAACACATGCTGCTTTTCCCCTTCCAATTCTCCACCCCTCCCCTGTTATGGAAATCCCCACACTTTAGGGCATTTTCATGCCCAGCCAGCCATGTAGTTTCACGCTGATGTTGGGGTGTTGCTGCCACGCCCACCTCTGCCACCTCCTCCTCCTCCATCTCCGGCAACCGCCCATAAGACGTAGTTCTAGTCCAGAACTCTCAGTGTCCTGACATTTGCCATGGATCCTTGCTCTGCCCCTTTTTTTTTTTCTGATAAATATATATATTTAATGCTTAGTTTTTTTATAGGGGAAAAATATATTGCAGGGAAAGGATAATTTCTTGAGATGGGAATAATGATTTGGGAAAGGTATTTGTTGTAAGAATCTAAAATCCAAGAAGTAATTAAAACAATGGAAGAATTTGGTGGAAAAATAATGGGGAATAAAAAGTTAAAGGGGTTTATTATGTAAATGTAAACAAGAACATAGAATTATAATTCAGGATCAGATATATTATTTTTTAGGATTTATTGTTAATTAACATTAGTCTGTGTTAGAATTTTATTTACTGCATGAGATCTGGAAAGAATGTAAACTTATGTTTTAAACACTTTTAGAAGGAGCTTTATATATTTTTTTAATAATTGAAAGCTCTTTTTTTAATAATTTCTAAGTGAAATAAATCTTCTTTCAAGTAATTTTATAGTTAACTAATTCTTTATAACAATTTAAGTATAAAATAAATAAGTACCACGCTTTAAATCAGCTTACTAAGCTCTTCTGGGTTCTGCCTTTTATTTTAAGGATATTAATTTTCTAACCCTTTTTTTAACATCTTAAGAAATTCAACTTTCTTATTTCTAGTTCTTTAAAAATTGTAATAAAGAGCATTAAAACTTCTTTGATTTCATAGTAAACCCCAACTCTCCCCTGTTACGTTATTATATTTTTCCTGCACAATTTTTTAAATGAGTTGCCCGAGGGTTGGACCTTGTTCACATGTATGCTGCCACGCCTATCCCACCGCCTAGAGTCCCCGCCTTTAAATATGCCACCCTAGATACCCCATACCCCTTGACTCTCTACACTCCTTCGCCTTGCACATTGTGATTTTATGACCGGTTACATTAGTGCCATGAAATATGCGCCTCCTGCACCTGCACCTGCAGCTGCTTTACCTGAGTTACCTCCAAAAACCCCCGACCCCAATCCCCAACCCGAAACCAAACCCAATTCCTGCCCAACTCAATCCCACAACCAAAACCCAAGCCTCGACTCGACTCGACGAGATCCTGGCTTCCGGCTAGGTAGCGTTAAATAAAAATGAAACGTTGCGCATACGCCGCGTTGGCCGTGGCGTAACTTATGCCCGCTGGCCATTTTTGCAGCGAAATTTAATTATTTAACCCGGAACTGGGCCGAAGTCGCGTTTTCTCTAGCGTGTGTGTGTGTGTTTTTTTTCCTGCCTGCCTGCCTGCCGCTGGTGGTGGTAGCTGATGGTTTCTCGTTTGCTGTTTCAGGATGTATCACACACACCTGCTCGGAGTTATTTTAATGAGTCGAGTTTGCAGTTTGGCTTTAAGCTTTCCTCTGTTCATGATTGTCCCGCAAAATGCACAGCGAAGAAAATTATGGGAAATGATCTTTAAGAGGTTATTTCATGTCTTGAGAATATTTTAAAATATATCAGTGGGTCAAGGGAAACATTTAAAGGGACCTCAATTAAACCTTTTAAACAAAATTACCAAAAAATATAAATGTATGTGTACTATAAATTTAACATGTTAAATGTTCTTTAAGTCTCTAAAATATATTATTTAAGCTTATATATCGTTAAAAGTATTATAAAATTACTCCAAATATATTTAAGCATCTCAAAAAATGCATATATATTTCATTTATAGTTAAAATTAATGAAATCCTTGGATTTATTCACAGTGCATTTATGATTCCAAC